GCATCATCTGATAATAGGTTTACTGATGCACTAATGAACCCTGTTAGTCCACAAAAGGTGGCTGATAATATACCAGAATATACAAGACTTGATTATAACCTTAGATGTTTTGTTTAATTTTTAATTTTAGTTAATCCACCCATGGTCTGGTAAGCAACCACAGTGTTTAAGAAAGCCCTTTTACCAGTATGCTGCAGGATGCCCTGGTGGGAAGTGACTTTGTCTCACAACAGGAAGGTCATAGGTTTAATTCCTACAGCAGCTATTGTGCTTAAACTCCCATGAAATGAAACAATGAACCGATACTTAGTGCAAAATCTCTCCAGTTACTGAAGTATAAAAATACATTGAACCATACAGAGGAGAAGAAAGCAACAAAGTCATACTTTATCTGTGTAATATAAAAGGGGAACTCCTCCAATTTTGTGTCTATTTACATGTCTTGGGAGTAACATTATGTGGAGAAGGTTGTATAAAGCCTCTTGCAGCTCCAGAGGGAGCTGCATGGAAATCCGATGCTGGTTGGGGTTGAAGAATAAAAGTTAAAAAAAAAACAAATATCTGGCTGTGTGGAGTTCAGACCTCTAGCCCGCGCATCATCTCAGCTTGATAGAGGCTTGTGGCTACATTAGCTGCTTGCAGCGTAATACACCTGAATCTCCCACCAAACTGTTGCCAGTCAAGTTGCATTGTGGGTAACTTAGGGGCCAGGTTTTGATAAGGAAGGAGAATGCATGGAATAAAAAAGTTCTGCTGTATTGATTTTAATCATTTTTAAAATGTCCACTGTGACTCAATTGACAATGTTATAGGTGTGCAATGCTAAATCGGCAGAATTCTCTTTTAGGTGCTTTAAGTTCCTTTATCATGACTGCATTTTTTATATCTTCTTTGATAAATTGCCCCTGTACAGTTTGATTCCTAAGTTTTAACCTCCAACATTTGCCTTTATTGTTTCGTGTAGTCTTCATTAGTTTGTTTTTTTGAATGTTTTTGGAAGAAATAGGTGATGAGTGTTTGTCATGTTTTGCATGTTTCGATGTCAGGTAGACTTACTGATTAAATTAAAGGGAAACATCATTAAGATCCCAAGTTTAGTCCACTCCCCCAACCAATTAGACACCTTTTCATGAAAATTTTCACTGCTTCCTTAAAGAAATTAAATCTGGCTGCAGATTTTCTGCTTTAATAATTCATATGTATCTTTCCGTAGTGTCATCATGAGCCAAAGAGACAAAGATAATGTTCATGTTGTGTCGCTGTTTGAAAGCCAAGCTTTGGTCCTTTCCACATGTCTGTTTTGGCCAGTGAGCAGCAGAAGCATGAGGGAAATGTGTAGGTGGTTAGATCAGCCGATGAAGTGTAAATACCACTCAATCTGTTCTCATTAGAGGAGTAAAAACATACGAATCACTTCGCCTCTATTAAAAATGCCCCAGGGTCCTGGTTAAGTGTGTGTTTGTGCATTTGGTTGTATATGTGGTTGTGTGAGAGAGAAGGAGGGGGAGACAGAATGATGTTTTGGCATTTGTGTCTGCAGAGGGGATCTGAAATGCCACCACCATCAGCGCTGCTTAATTCTCAGAAACACACACTTAATCTGAACAGACAATCCGTTCCGACAGCCACTGTTATGATTCAAATCAACTTGGAGTGAAGGGTGTGTGTGTGTGCTCTTGTGAATGAGAGAGTATGTCATTGTGTTTTGGTATGTGATTAGGTGTCTGTGTGTGTGTGCTCATCTGTCTATGTTTGTGTGTGTGTGTGTATGACCAAGATATCACACATCCATTCCACATTCCCCTATGATAATGTGGATTGATTATGGATATGATAATGAGAGGCCGGCGCGGCGTCGCGACCTTCACAAGGTCTAATTGAAACAAGCGTTGGTCCTCCGAAGCACTTATCAAGTCACACAGCACATCATTAATCACGGAGAATACAAGCTGTCACTGTACACACACATGCGCACACACACACGCACGCACACACGCACACACGCACACACACAATTTTTCTGTTTTCGTAACACACATGCTCTATCTCCTGTCTCCTTTCTCTCCCTCTTTTTCTTACACACACACACACACTCACACACACACTCACACACACAATGCAAGCTGTCACTACAATATGCCTGGTATTGTCTTCTTTTAAGGAGAGTGGACAGCTAGTCCACCCTCCATCTCTATTTTTTACAAGAAAAGTTGAAGAACAAACAGGCTGTTGGAGTTAAACCTTTAAAAAAAGAAAGACATGAAAAAACACAAGAGAGGGAATGTTAAAACAATTCAACAAATATGAACAGCTGTTCACTTCACCCAAACTCGCCTGAAATTGAATTAGCTCAAGTTGTTTTACTACCTGCTTTTATTAGAAGACAATTTAACAAACAAATGTGATTCCAATGTCTGATTAAGGCAGCATATGGTGCCTACCTGTTAAACACAGCGCGTTCAATACCAGCTTAACGCCTCAGTGAGCCACTTGAATAAACTAATAAGCCCAATATCATATTAGTCATTACATAGTCCAACACACAAAATTCCAATCTGATAAAAAGGTGGTTTCATTATCATCATAGTGAAAACACAAGGGAGTTTGCACGTGCTGCGCTGATGCCATCACCAACTTTGTTAATTGTTATTCAATTAACTGCTTTTGTTAATGAAATCAATTAATACTTTAAAACAAGCAGGCACATATACAATTATTATGCATCTATGCAGAAGACAGCTAATTACAACTGTAAATCAATCAATTCTACATTAATCAGCTTGGAAAATGTCCAAAAATAACAAAGTCACTAAAAGACTTTGGAAGTTTTTTTTTGTTTTTGTTTTTTTTTTTTTTTTACATATTTTGATTGCCATGCCATTATCCTGTCTAATGATTGTTAACGATCCTTTAAAGAGTTTATGATCCAATTTCCTTGCTGTGAATTTAATTGGGATCTAAACAGTATAATCTTACGGTGTAAAAGTGTGGCCTGTATTTAATCATGGGTGGTGTATTGGAGAAAGCTGTAACAAGGTCACAGAACTCCTCTCAGGGCAAATACAGTCGGTGAAGCTTCCACGTAGTAGAAGGATGAGAGTCAGGCAGGCTGGATCAGTTACAGAACTATTAATAAAGCAGTCACTTTGATGCCAGAATACAGATCTATTGTGGTCTCTTCAGGATAAACACTGCTCTAAGGTGTCACCAAGTTTCAGGGCATTCAGAATATTCTGCTCTCTGCTTAATTAGTTATGTAATTTATTGTCAGTTATGGAACAAGTATTCAGATTCTTTACTTAAGAGAAAGTAGAAATAACACAATGTCTTGATTTAAGTAAACGTATGTTAATATTACTAGAAAAATGTCCTTAAAGCATCAAATTAAACTTAAAGGGCTTGCTTTTATTTACTGTTAGATGGTTAAATCTAGCATATAACAATGCATTGTATTTTATATGTATATTCTAGTAGTATAAAGTAGCATGCAATTAAGATACTGAAGTAAAGTACAAGTACCTCTGAAATGTAGGCCTACTTAATACTTGAGTGCCCAGCCCACATTGATTTATAAGACACCATAAATTTTGTTGAAGAGGTCAAACATTTGTCATACAAGAATATAACTTTGTCTCCTGCCCTAAGCTCCATAAATTAAATCTGCCACAAACAACTTACTAATAATCATCCAACTAATAATCAAGAGCTCATCAGAAACAGGGGGTCTTTTAACTAAAAATTCTAGCCCTGAAATAATCAATTAAACATAAAATGGACATAACAAACAAAGCCTTGTCTCTGAAGGGAGACTATTAAACCTACCTGTTTATGGCTTCTGGTAATTAGTAACCTAAACATAACTCTGCACAGAGATCTTTGACTTTTGGTTAAACTCTGCTTCCTTACACTGAGACAATATGTTTGTATTTTATGTTTGGACAAACATCAACAGACCATCTTTCCATAAGGAACTCCTAATCAGTCCGGTCTAATTATTTTTATAATATCCAGTGCACACACTTGAACCATAATTGCAAAACATAGTTCTTTCATTTTTAAATGAGACTGCCCTCATTTATCAGAAAAATAATCCTCAGCCTGGATAATTATCAGACATACAAACATAAACACCTTTAGAAGTTCTGATGTGAGGACCTGCTTGCCTCAACAGTCATGTGACCTGACCAGTGCCCTAGTTGAACACCTCTCAGATGTTTATGTATATATGGACGCTAATCTCTCAGTCAGGACTATGGGATTTGTGAATATTTTGTTTTACAGAGATCAAAGTAGCTGGCTAGGATCAGGAGAAACCCTTCAAACACATCAAACAGAGAGCAATGCATCCTGAATCCCACGCCCACAGTAGCCAATCAAGCCATGCATAACTATTTTCTTTTGTAAAAGTAAAGGATTCTCAATGTGGGTCTCCCTCCGTCGACACTTTGTGCAACTCACCCCCCAGAGAGACCAGGGGTTGTTCAGGCATATGGGTTATCAAGAAGAACCACTGCATTGTCTTTATGCCTCTCATACTTGGCTAACATGATGCTGGTATTGGGGAACAGGGAGATACTGTGTTTAGAGATCAAAGCAGCAGTACAGAGATTTACTCTCACATCCCGTCAGTCAAGATGGCGAGACAAAGCAGAGGAAGACAGAAATGCTTACACACACATACACACATGCTCTCCTTCTCACTCGCCAGCTTTCTCCGTCGAGTTCTCCATGGTGTGCCTGTGAGGGGTGAGGCGTTACTGTCAGATGGCTTAGGGGCTACTCATTTGTAGACATCTACCGCACTGCATGAACACCTAAACTCACACACACAGGAGGGACACAAATGCACACACACACACACATTCAAAAGCTAGTGATTCAAGCCCTTGCGGATGAGAGGTCGCCTCTAGCCTGTCTATTGTGTTCTGTGCTCTCAGCATTTTGCCCTCGTCTCGAAGATGAATAGAGCTATTTTACAGACAGCGGCGAAACAACATTGCTCTGTGTGGTTAGACACATGATGTAGGGGCTTTATTTTTGGTTGATCAAAGACATGTTTTTTTTCTGTAAAGTTTGCAATATATCAAATACTTTTCTGGATAGAGTACAAACATAAAGGGGGCAAGGATTTCAGTTCAACAGGACGTCCTGCTGTAAAGAATGACCCTTGTTAATGTCTTCTCTTTAATACACGTTGATGTGATCACCCATGCATGGTCTCCGTCTGTATTATTGTGAAATGTTCTACCTCAATCTATGTCTCTTTCACCTAGTGTGACAGGAAAGAGCATTTCCATTGTAAAAATCTGAAACCTTTATGATTCACTGTGGAAAAATGCTTTGCAACATTTTATAACAGGATCAAGACAACACAGAAAAAAACAGCACTGTCCTGGTAAATAAATACGGTATATCTGATTCACAGAGAACCTGATAAGATCACAGAATTTCATTTCTCTTAAACATCAGGAAAACTCACGAGATAGGAAACTTGCAGTTAAAACCTAACACTCAATGAATACCTATACCTCAGACTAGAATAAGTATGGCACAACACCACCTTGTGGCCGTCAACTGTAACATTTAAATTTAGATGTAGGTCCCTCATTGATGGTTACATGGACAATGGAAATGACAAAAGGATTAAGTTGTAAAATAAAAACAATTCATAACTAATTATATACAATTCACATAAAAAAACCATTTTCTTATGAAAAGTGCAACACAAGTTGACTGAGAGAAATGAGAGGTATGCTTTTAAATTAAGGCAGGATGTCAATGCTAACGCCACTCTCAGTTTACACTTTACAAATAGCAGGAGGGACTTGGAGCAAACCCAAATTTGAGGCAGAATGTATGAGCTCACGCTTATGTAAGGAGAAGAATATTGTTTAGGAAGAGGACTGGAGGTTCATACCTTTAAAAAAAAAAAAAAACTGAGACACAAGTAAAAGCAAAAAACAGGAGCAGTTAGTCACAAAGTGAGGGGACAGTGTGCCAACACTCAGACAAATCTGATTGGCGAGTCCATGGTAGGTACAGATCCAGCAATGGGGCATGATCCCATCAAAGTTCCCCATCTGAGTTGATCAGGGTGCAACTTCAGTTGGTGCAGTTTTCGGAAGCCTGAAAGAGAAAATAAATATTCAGCAATGATGCATCACAATGATTAATTATCAGATTATACAGTGTTTTTTCTTGTAATCAAATTACACCTGCTTTATGGACAGGTTACAACTGCACAGGAATAAATTCAAAAATGTGTTTTCAAAATTGAGAGTTAGTTACAAAAGCTACACCAAAATGAATATTAGGAACTCACATTTTGCATATATTTGTTTTCAGGCTTTCCCTTCTTGCCTGGATGACAAGATATATTTCTCCACCAGTTTTCCTCAATAGTGATTGAAATGTTGCCTTCATGATTGACACTCATATGTCAGCCCCCTTTTACAAATATTATCTTGCCATTTTGTTTGGCACAAAAACAGATATTTTGGTTCATGAGATATTATGGTCATCGAAAACATATGACAGATGGTGATGTAAAAGAGGTAACCAAATTCAACAGTCCATACAGAACAAAACTCTAGGAATATGATACTATGTTAGGAGAGGGAAATATAGATAGATGACGTTATGGTTACAAAAACTTTTCTGGAAAAATCTAACTCTTTATGAATAAAATAACCAGACAGGATTGTCTGTTCTTTGGATAATCAACCAGATACCTTACAAATTAATATACCTTATCACATTTGTGCAAAAATCATTAACAATACTGCTGTTAACAGCCATGCTCGTGAATATGCAACATTGCTCACAATGGCCTAATACGCCCAGAGATATTCAAGGGAGGTACACCTCAGCATAAATAGCATGGCAAATTCTCTGACAGCTGACATTTTTTATTGTCTCATTTTATATATTGTCATATCACCTTACCTTATACCATGTCACTAGAAACATTAACATCTAAGAGCTTTGTTAATTTGTTATGTTTTCAATTTCAGAAGATTTTAGGTTGTGATACCAAAACCACGATATAGATTGCAGCTTCAGGCATCTCAACTCTCAGTCTGACACTACACTAGTTTTCAGTGCTGGTGTAGGCTGTTGAACTAACATTAACATCTGAATATGTGCTGAAACTATCGGTTGATGTATGTAACTCATTTCTCCAATACAAATGCCAAACACTTGACAACACCCTGATTACAGCTTCCAAAATGTGAGGGTTTTCTGCTGTTCTCCCAGTTATATCAGTGCAAATGAAAGACCCTGTCTTTGGAATGGAGAGGTTAAAGACACCACACGGAGGTCTTGTAATTTCACTTTAACACTGGACTTAACTGAGCTCCGTCAATACCCACCTCAAAAAACAAGTTTCCTCGTTAATATAAAAGGTTAGCTTTTTGGGAGCCTGTTTCTGTACCTTGAGGGATTCAGAAGCTTTACGCAGTTCTTTAATGACTGCAGACAAAGCTTCTGGGTTGATGCCCTGCTCACACAGTCTCACACATATAGACAGAGACTCCATGTCCAAACCAGTGTTCAGCAACCTGGAGATCTCCAACAACACTGTTGGGAGGAAGAAGGTGCCAATTGACCAAAGTTAGATTCATTTTCTAGTGACAACGGGGCAAAACTTTACTGCTAGCAATACAATTACAAACAAGATGGAGGTTAGCAAAAAAGCCAGTTATTTGCAACTGAATTTAAAGTAATTTTACACATAAATAAACTGCTGCTGTAGATTAAACATATATTTACCATCCATTGTCTCCCGGACTGCGTTTAGGTTTGCATTTGCTGCACTTGCCATAGTTTACAAATAATATAATTAGCCAACACTTGCTAGCAGGTGGCTTACATAAGACTTAAATAGTTATCTGATGCGACGCAAGAGTTACTATAATAGTTCAGGCAGACTTTAAGCGTTTTGTATTCATTTTTAATAAGATCTCCAAAAATTAGAATTGCACAATCATTGAGGGACAATATTAGCAGCTAGCTACCTTGCCCGCTAACGTCAAAACCGGAGGAGGAAGTGACGACATGATTTCGTTCATTGATTGGTTCCCAAGAACTTCCTGCAATATTTCTATTGGCTAGCGGGCCTTGTAGGCAAAATTGAAATAAACGTTTGAACCCTCTCTGCTGATTGTTTGGGGACTCCTCAATGAAGATTGTTTTAAAGTGTGTTCAAAGTCCTGACTCATTAACCGTTGTAAGTACTAACATTAAAACGTATGCAGCTAATGTTTAAATGTACCTTTCGTTTTTTAATTAACGGGGTGTGTTAAGAAAGAGGACAGAAGGAAGTCGAAGGTTAAACGCTGTATTTCTTCTGTTCGCAACACTAAATGAAGTGCTAAGTTACCTTCTACGCTGTAGAAACAGGGTAACGTAAGTCTTGTAGCTAACGAAACGTTACCAAACCAAAAAAAAATCTATATTTATGAAATGTTATTTTCCTTTATGCTGACTTGAATATTTGTTGTTGCCAGTTAAGATGGGGGATCATGTTGAGGTACAGATCACTCCAGAGACTCCAGGCAGGCCTTCCATCAGAAACCCCTTTGAAAGTCCCAATGACTACCACCACCTCCGTGAAGCCCTGGTGCCAAGTCCATCTGTCTTCAAGTCTAAGGCTTGCAAATCTGTAAGCTTGACCACACCTCAAATCTTTTAGACCTACCTGCTATGTGACACATGCACAGACACATATCCTACATATCCTACTGCAAATATCAAAATACTGTGTTATGTCCAGTTTTGCTCAACTGAAGGATGAATGTAGTGTTTTATTCACGTCGTCATCTGTCTTTTCCCCAAGACTCCTCCCAAGTTCAACTGGTCTATTGATGAAATGGCCAGTCTTCATCCAGTACACATAGACCCAGAGGAAATCCAGCGACAATCTTTTTACCTCAGCCAGACAAGGTATGTAACTTTACTGAACCATAGTAGATATGAAAGAAGAAATGGTGCCTAACAAAGTAAAAGTGTTGTTTGACTTAATTAAGCCCATCCTAATGTATCAAATCCAGAGAGTAAATTTTATATAGCAGGAAATCTAGGTGACAAAACCTTTTTCTTTCCCAACACCTAGAATGGATTCTGACATTGAGGAGAAGCGTCAGAATGCTATTGAGCAGGTATGGGATTCTATTTCAATCTAATCATATTGTAAAATGATAAGTTAATATATTGATGATTTATAGATTCATTTTGTAATTATTTGTCTGTCTCCTATTAAAGTTTTTCACCAAAGGAGCCATCGTGCCTTCCCCCTGGGCAGCACCAGACACCCGTAAAGGCCCTCAGATCTATATGAAAAGTAAGTTATCTTATTGTTTATTACTTTTGAACTCCTCCCTATATTTGCCTATGTTGTATTTTGGTTTTGTACATTATTTCATGTTCATGTTACTGTATTGTTTCTTGGTACTTGTAGGTTGTATGTCTGCAATGATTGCAGAGGAGCCAGAAAAAATCTCAGGTTGGTGGGCTGAAATGACTTTCTACAAGCAGTGCCCCATCTATTTCTCTTTCTGTCACAATCTACTAACTTGTTTTTGATCATTCTTTAATTGTGTTTGTTTTACAGTTGCTTGTCAGACAACTCTGTCGTTACCTTTGGCTTTTGATTTGGAGAAAGTACTAGGTAAGCCTCTAATAAAATCCAGCACAATCAAATCAGAGTATTGCAACATTATGAAGTCACCATGTTTGCTTGTTTCTTCCCTCTCCTCAGGGGATTATTACCGCCATGAGGAAGTGTGTGATGCTGTGCAGGAGAGTCTCAGTTCCTCCTCCTTAAGACGAAAACTCTTCCTCGATGGCCAGGGCAGTTACAGCGGCTCTGACAGCTCCAGTCCACCAAGCCCAGAGAGAAGTCATCTTTGCAAGGAGAGGCCTTCTCTTAACATGGTACAAGGCACTGTAGGAGAGGTTGATGCTGTGTCACCTACCTTTTGCTCCCCTTTGTCCTGTGGCGTTTCAGCTCCGACTCCCTCTACGGTGAGTGGAGAAGTGTAGGGATGCAAATGAAGATAATTCTGTATGTCAATTTTAAAGCACAATATCTGTACAGATATATCTTTAGGTTTGATTTTGTGGAATTTGCATTTTTCTTTTTTTCATTTAATACCACTTTTAAATTAGCAGCAGATTTATTTATAATTGTGAAAGTGAAAAACAGCAAACAGCTCCTGATATCTGTCTATCTGAACCTCAGCAAATCCATTTCCGGTTAACTAATCTTTTCAGTACTAGACTACTGTAGATTTTGATCATTTTCAAAAACATTTTTGCTTAAACAGTGTGATCCAAATACGAAAAAGGTACCTCCTTGCTAAAAATCACTTTAAGTTAAATTAACACTTGCACTGTTAAACAATAATGTATTTGCATTGTCTTAACTATAGGGTCAGTTCTCGTCTAGTCCGATCCAGCATGGCTGCTTCCGGGACTGCAGCCTTGGCAGCATCTCCAGTCCTCTCTTCCCTGACAGGTCGTCTCCTGCTGGCCTCGTCTCCCCCACAGTTTCTCCTATTGTTGCACATGCAGCACGCACACCCATAGGCTCAGGTAGGCTATTTGTTATGTAAAGTAGGGGGAAAAAAATTATCATTTGGTTTTGCTATATAAGATTTTTCTCCTCATGTTCTTTCTTTAGCTGAGAGAAAGCAGCCGAGCAATTTGACGCCACACTGTGTTCCCCTGGATGCTGTCACTTCCTGCAATGAGAGCCCATTTGTCGAAGGCTGCTCTCCGATACGTAGCTGCTCTCCACACCAGCTCCACTGCCACAATGAGCCACAGAGTATTGCCAGACCCAAGCCACGGCCCAGAGTCCGTTGCTGGGCCTCCCCTCCCCTCATCTCCCCGATCCTCAACCCTAAGCTCCAAGACAATCAGGAGGATGAGGAAAAACTTCCCACGTTGTCGTCGTCGTCCTCCTCTTCCACTTCTCTTCCCCCTATGGAGCTAGATCCATCTTCACCTATGGCCCGTGACGCTCACCCTGTTGACACTGAGAGAGTTAGCCTGGATCCTATGGAACCTGTGAAAATGGAGGAGGAAAAGGACACGGGGATAGAAGGGGGGTTGGCGGACGAGGGGGATGAAGAGGAGGAAGGTGGAGGGCCTTCAGAGCAGCTGACCAGCTCTCGCATGGGCAATGTGTCAGCAATAGAAAGCTCACAGATGTTTCTATCTCTTCTGGCAGAGGGAAGCAGCATACCCTACGATTCCAGCATGCAGGTTGGTGTGAACAATTTTTAATTTAGGCAGACATAAAAGCTACTTTTATCTTTTTGTATTTCACTTTATATTTAACTTGCTCTTAATTCTTGTTGGTAACTTCTTGTTGATATGCCTGTCTAATGGAATATTTATAATGGACTGCCGTTTGTGTGTGTGTTCAGGTGGACAGTGGGTACAACACTACCTCAGTAGGCACCACCAGTCTTATAGATGGCCTCAGCTCAGACTGTCAAAGCAGAGAGTCCTTCACTTCAAACCAGGCAGAAGAAGCCTTCCAAGTCACTCGACACACTAAAGTAAAGGTACTGTTAACCCTTTATGTACACAGGTTTGTGGATACAGGTCAGTTTTTTAATTAATAGTATTGTGCATGCTGTAAGGCTTCATTCGCTTCTTTTATACTTTTCCTCTTCCTTTTCATCTTACTAAAAGTAGATTTCTTGTTTTCCAGGTATATTATCATCACCACTGAGCCGTCTGGTTGATGCATTTAAAGGGATGCCTCTTCCAGTGGAAACTGAAGATGATTATTTTGCAATCAAAAGGTGTACACTATGTTTGAAGCATTTATCTTGATTAATTTTGTTAGTGTGAATGGTGTCAACTGTTAAATGAACTATGAACAGAACTGAGGGGTTTCACAAGTGGTTATTGGTTCTTTTAAGGTTTAAAGTTAAAATTGCTTCAATGGAAGCAAATGCTCTTCCATAGTATGTTTTATCACAGAAGGGAGAAGACTAATCCATGGCTGATCTTAGTCCCTCTGTAACACACTGAAAAACTATAATTCTAAATAAACAGTTTTGGACTCAGTATACTGGTCCAAAAAAAACACAAAAAACACCAGTTCTGTATCAGACGTGCACGGTAACCTCCTTGAATGCTTTATTGATGCTAATGCCTTCATTTCAATTTTATGTGGTGCTGATATGATTGACCTGATCCTGACTTTCAGATGACAGCAGATTTGTACTGTATTTATGTTTTTATCATGAAGTTTTTATGAGAGCTTTTTTCTTTTATTATGTGTATGAATGTTTCAAGTTCAGGTTACCCATGAATCTTCTTTGGATTGTTGGGATACTATTTATTGCTGAATAAGGGACACTGAATGCCACCAGCAAATTAAAAGCTGACTGAGCCACGTGTTTACCATTCTTTCATGTACTTATGGGCTGGATCGTCACATTAAATTAACTTGAATTTTTTTTCCGGTTTGAGAAAACTGTTATGTGATTGGGTCTTTCTACAATGTTGCACAAAGTACTGTCTTTTGACTTAATGGCATGGTTTAGAAATAAGAATTCTCTAACATTTATTATCACGCCATGTATTTACATTATCACAATTCTCATTTTGGATTACAGATCTATTCAAATTTCATTTGGCCAAAATGTCAATGTGAGATTTGAATAGTTCAGAATATACAGTATCTAATTTTTCCAAAATTGTAGGATTTTTATGTAATAGGGCAAAATTATTTTTTTAATGTAGGGTTTTAATACAGAATGCTATGATATTAATTTTGTACATAATTCTTAATTTGGGTTGGCAAACAGGACTGTAGACAATAACGTCTAGGTCTTCAAGTTTTTCATGCTGGGTCAACACAACACAACACATGGAACCAAATAGGTAAAAAGAAAAACACTTTAATGATTGTTTAAAATGAGTACATGAGCAGAGGGGTGCATATGAGGTTGGAGCAGTGTAGCTTCACTGTGGTAGATTATTAAAGTGGGCACACTTGCTCATTTTAACATTTGGGATGAGTACAAGGTATAACAGTTAATTGTGTCAATGCATAAAAGAGTCAACACTGATTCTTTTACAGATTGTTACAATTTCTTGATGTGGAAGATCAGCGGGTAAATTGCTATGCTGCTTTCTGTGTCAGCGGTCCAGTTTTGGTTTCTTGGCCTGTGGTTCAACATCTGGGGCTGGAACACTCACACCAGGTATCTGAAATAAAGAAAATTAACTTACAAAATGCTGGTTTTCATTTTAAGTAAGTTGGATTCTTCTACATTTTCAACATCCTTAATCAAACCTAAAGGCTGCAAGTTGTTAGCTGAAATGGGAGAAGAAACTTTCTCAGGCTAAAATTAAACATGTAAAAGTAGCTAATAATAATAATTATGTACCACTGGTTGTTTGAAACCCATGTTCAGTTTAGTCAGTCCTTACCACAGGGTCAATCAGAGACATGCGGATCTTCTGGTGCTGAATATTTGAGTCGTCCAGGCTGATGGTGACCTTCACCTTGTCAAATATGCAGAAAGTGTGCTGCTCTACCTTCAGAGTGGGACCCTTAACACACAAAGAACAGATATTTTAAAGCACAGTCCTCTGATAGGTTTTAGTTTATCAGAGTTGATCTAACCTAGGAAACAAGGTTAAATCTATTCATACCTCTTCATCAAAAACAAGGTTTGGAGCAGCCTTGTCTTTGGTGTCAAAGAAGACTGTTCCCTCCAAGCCAAACTTTGGGATGAGTACAATGATTGCATTCTTCCTCACAAACAGAACAAATCCCTCTTCGTTCAGTATGCCTCGGCTCTTGAAGAACAGCTGGAAAGAGATCATTTGTATGAAAATTGAGATTCATTAAAAATTAATCTGCAGTGAAGTCAGTGAAAATTTGGTTTGGTTGGCTGGCAACATGATGGTTCAGGGCAGTATACAAGTTCATAGAAATCAGACCAGTGTGTTCATATGTGTTCACCTGTGTGTGGAAGGCCACAGATGCCCTCTGTGCGTACTGAGACATTTTATGTCTGTAGTTGAGGTTGTTGGAAAGGGCTGACTGCTTATGTTTGTCCATCAAATCTGGGTAGGTGCTGTCTGCTCCTATGGCCACTGCCAGCAGGCGGTGTACTATAATATCTGCGTACCTGTGTAAGACAGCAAATGAAAAGGGTGGAGGGTGAGGAAGAAAGGAAGCAGAGGTTTAGATAAAAAGAAATAGGGAAGAAACGAACTGTGCTGTGGTAGTTTATCAATTGTGCGATTTTATTTTGTTATAAAGGCCCGATCCCACATATTTTTGTCAAGACATGTAGAATATCTGTTTTCATACCTCCTAATAGGTGACGTGAAGTGTGTATAAATGGGTGATGCAAGGCCGTAGTGGTGGAAATCACTGTCCATGCCGGAACAAAAATAGACAGCCTGCATCATGCAGCGAGTGGCCAAGATGCGCAGCAGTGTGTTAAAGTACGGAAAGCCATCCACTTTAGCCACGTCAAGGGAGTCAGCCAGTGCTTTGGCTGAATCTGTGTGTATCTCCACATCCTAATAAAAAAAGAAAAAAATTTGACAACTTAAAATATATTTATAGAAGAAATCATGATCTTGTACCCTTGGGGGTATGTGGACAGATTGTGGAGTAGCTCAATTAGTTAGTTATTAGTTACATAGAATTTACGATTTGAGGGTGCTAGAAACCTAGTTAGAAAGCGCAGAGAAGTTGAAACAATTAGCTAAAGTACTGAATAAATGTTTAAAACAAATAGCTAAAAGTAATGAGTAAACTGTTAAAATAGTTCATTAAAAGTAAGTAAGTTAAATAAGGTGAAATTGAAATAACTGAAATAGCTAAAGGTAATGGATAAATGATTGAAAGTGTTAGTTAATATTAATGGTTAAATGGCCATGATAAATGGCCATGATGATAAAGGGGTACTTCAGTTAATCTGACGTGGGGGTATGTCTGACAAAAAAGGTTGGGGACCACTGGACTATTGTGATGTTTGCTCGTGTCTAAGTTTTGTCCAGCTATATAGCAACTAGTCTGTTGATAGCATTTTGGCCTTGGCTAGAGGAACACATGTTGTAAAGCATAAAATAAAAATCCTCCTTAATTGTAGGTTGATCAGCAGACTAAATTGCTATTTTTATTCACTTCTGTTTGAATCATTGAATAAATCTGAGATGTGGGCAGGGATTCTGAGCCTGTCAGTGACAAAAAGAAGCACTTTTTGTGGACGTAATTTTGACAGGCAAAATTTCATCGAAGGAATACATTGCGGCTGCCGGCTGAAGCCATCTACTGCACGGCTTCCAAAACTTTTTGTATATGCTATTAATTTTACCACAAATATGTAAAAAGAGGGCCCAGGTTTAAAAATACCAAAATTGTCCTTTAATAAAGTTAGCTCAAGAAACAAGCACACAACTTGAAAACCAAAGACATTTCTGCACGACCATTGGTCTCCACTCACTTTGGACTTTGCAGCTTTGAGCAAGATGTCGTAGTTAGATGGAGGCGGTGCTGGATGTTTCCTCAGCATAGCACAGTCTGGAAATTCATCGTAGATCTTCTGGGCAACTGAAATGTTGGCCAGCAACATGAACTCCTCTACCATGGAGTTTGTTTCCCTATTAACCAAGAGATGGGTTTATTGACATGTGTCCAAAAAACACAGCATGACACACATAGACTGAACACACTGAAAAACAAACGCAAAGCATGCTTTTGTGGAGAAAAAGGTTTCAAAAAGGATTCTGCAGAATGCTCCTTTATGAAGTTACCTACATGAGTTCTTTGGTCTGGAGGTCAATGGGGTCGTGGGTTTCACTATCAATGTGGAATCGGACCTCTAAGGATGACAGCGTCAACGCCCTGAGGGATATCAAATAAAATACAAAACACAATTCATGTTAAGTACAGCCAGTTCAGATATATAGCAGTAGTGGGAGTTAGGATGAAGTAAACTCTGTGTTCTGGATTCCTCGTATCTACTAATTGCTTTACTACATGCTTTTTGTTTGTATTCTTAGTTGTCAATCATCTGGAAAGCAATTGAGCAACGATTACACCAATAAAAACAAATGTTTTCCTCATAGTTTTCTAATCTCCTCGTAGATCTGCCTCTACTAGTCCTAACTCTCAGTCCTTACCCTTTAGCTATCCTATGCCTCTTGAGGATTTTGGCTAGTTTGTTGAGACCTCTTAGGCTCTTGGTGATATCATCATTCATGGTGGTGTCATCAATCCTCATTTGGGCCTCGGCATAGGTCAAGGAGGCCTGTACCAGATCGAATGTTAGAGGGGAAAACGAGGAAATGTAAATAATAAAAATCAGGCTTGAAAATAACTTGACCTAACTAACCTAAATAAATTGTAAGACACAAGTCTTACAAATAGATTATGAAATGTTTTAGTAGCATCAGTTACAGGGCATTTGAGTCACACATCACTACAAAAACATTAAGGATAATGTAAACTTTCTGTCACTGTACATCATGTGTTGCAACCATACCTTGGAGTCAATGACACTTTTTGTGAACCGCGTCTTTATAATTTCAGCCTCGTGGTTCATCTCCCAGATACATGAAAACGCCAGCCTGGTAAAAAAAAAAAAAACAAAAGGAAAGAAAGAGCGAGAATCAGAAACAAACATTTTAACTACATTCAGTTTGCATCAGCTGGAATGGCCAAAATCTATGATTGGGTAAAGAAGCAACTTTGATTATTGCGCGAGTGCAAGTGTGTGTATTTATCTCTAGTCCTCACCTCTCCACATTGGAGCGTAGAGAACAAAGATTGGAGCTGAGCAGTTCAGGAACCATATCTATCCTCTGATTGAAACAAAATTACAGAACACAGCTTTTAGGAGTCACAATATCTTTTCATGAATCAATTAAATTCTAAACTGAACTATTTATTGGTCAAGAAAAACAGTTGTCAAAATATCCAAAATTTCAATACAACCCAAATATCTCTACTGAAATAAATTGGACGGAATTCATAAATAGATTTTTAGAAACATTCAATACAGTCACCAAATGTGTTTTGCACCTTCAGATGGCATATATTCAGAGATTTAAAAAAAGATTACAATAGAGAAAAGAGAGTGTCCTGTAATTAAGCTGCAATCATAATGGTGGACTGTGCCAACATGCAAAAAACAAAAACAAATTCTGTGTCAAATTGTCTACTACATTGTAAACAGGCTAATGAAGTAAGTGTGTGTGTGTGTGTTTTTTCTTACTTTCCCACACAAGTAGACAGTGGTGCCACGGTTCGCAGCCTCTTTGTCCAAAGCGTTTCCAGGTCTGATAAAGTGACTGACATCGGCAATGTGGACGCCAACCTACAGCAAACAAATAACTTACAGTGGGCTCACATGGAAATATAGACACA